TAAGAAAATGTCTCATTACTTTTGTTGTCGAAAATGTCTTTCAAAGCAGCTAAGCTTTTATAAGAAGTCGTTGTTGATGAAAACTTGGTAGAAATTATTCCGAACTTCAATTTAATTTAACGTTAGTTTTTGGCAGTAATTTAACAGAATCATCCTTTTTTTAAACTAAATTTAGAAGTTCTTTTCATGAGAAGAGCAATATCTTTGATTAACAAATAAATTTTAAATTAATCAGCATTTATTATCTGTCTAGCTTTCAAAATAACTATCTATCTATTGGCATTGCACAATATAGTCGTACACGTAAGCTATTATCAATTTAAACGAAAACTATTGTGATTTCGATGTCGGATGTGGGGATGGGAGTAAATAAGCAGAACACGCACTCACATCCACACCCAAATTAGGCAATTCTTTCTAGAAAAATAATATAATATTATCAAGTAAATAAAGACAATCGCCAAAACGAGTCACATTTATATACAAACGCATTAGAGTTGAAGAAGAAACGTTGGAAAGATGCAGAGATGTTCGGAAACAGATCCATATTAATACATGAAAACTTACACACATTTCAATAAATTAGATTTGTAAACACAGTGAATATACGAGTAAACAGAGTCATTATCACCTTTTCCTTGAAACTTTGTTGTTCATCTTTATCGATCGTCATGAGAAGTAGAGAAATCTGTTTTTTTGAAGATGCGAACTTAATCAGATTTATCTTAACAAAAAAATACAAAACAATTGAGAAAACACTTATAAATATACTATTAATCAATCAATTATAATTAGGAATGCAATGATAACGGTGAATCATCATATCATTGTACTGGCCTACGGTTTAGACATACACACATTGACTAATGGTGAATATATCATAAAATCATGACTATCTTAGATTTTATGTAATAGTGAGAACTTCTTAGAGAAACATTACCTGAAAAAAATCATACAGATTGATAGAGAATAACTCCACTTACTGAAATTTTACATATAAGAATATAACGGTAGAATAATTTTGCAAGTCACTCATATAAATGTTTTTCTATTTTATTTAGACTACAATCCTAGCTGGCCATCATAGAGAATTTATCAAAAACTGATTTCTACTTCTTTACTGCGCTTAATAAAACAGCAATAAAAAAAACAATCTCATGACACAAGAATGTGTACTAATGCTACTTTCTACTTATCTAAAATAATACGATACAAGTACTATTTCAGATAAACCTCACTCCGACGAACTATTTAAACAGTTGATTAATATATTATCATAGTCATCACTTTATTAACATACGACTTCGATCAATCAACTTCCACTGTTACGCGCATAGAAGAGAATCATGCAATCAAAAAAAAAATTAATAATGTCCTTCAATGATAGATTCTTCAACACAACCAATACCAAGCATGAATCTAGAAGGTGAGTATCAAAACGTGTCTCATGATGCTTGGTATCTGCTTATATAAACTCACACCCTCCTCCTGATTTTAATAATCATTTGCATTGAAAGAGATAATGATGTTGTTGCCTAGTGATTTAGAATATTTTGCTTTTGCTAGGATGTTTTATTCAGTTTCCAGTAGATGCAAGCTCAGATTTTCAATGTTCATCCTGAGTCGATAACGTTTCCGAAATATTAATTTTTCTTTCTGCAAGAATTTGATTGATTTTAATATTCTAAGTCAATTTACTAAAGAAACTGATCTACTTTGCATAGAACCAATGAAAGGTAGAATTAACTGTAATTTCTTTTATTCATTTATAATTTTGAGGTAAATTAAGAAAAAAAGTCGATTGATATAATATGCAATGTTTAGAATATTTTTTGTGTTATTGTACCAATTCTTACTTGTTTTTTGTTCAATTAGTATTTCATCAGTACACGTAAAGAGTAGAAAAGAAAAACAAAAGTCATGTCTATGATAAAAATAGAACCGTCACGGTAGAATTGTCAAGGTATATGTTTTTTTCTACGATATAATTTATCTTTTCTCTTCTCCGTACATATTTAAAACAAGTTTGTGCATATGCATAGGGTATGACTACGAGATTGGAGCATACTGATAAACTTTTTTTTACTAGAGTAAAATGACGGTAATTATCACATAAATAAAATGTCTTTTATATCAACTGTGCAATAACAAAATAGTTAAGTAAGTATAAAAGAATTGCCGATTAGAGAATAATCTTGTTAATCAGTGAAAATAAGAGTAAAATCAAAGATAAACAATAGTCATATACGAAAAAGTATAGTAAGTATCACCATTTTTATTATTTTCGTTTTTCCTTTAATATTGAGAGAATTGAAATGAAATAGTAGTAACTGCTTTATTGGATCATGATTATTTGAGTCGATTAAAACGGATCTGTTCATAGTACTTTTTGAAAACGTAAAAGGCGTATATATAGACCAATTTTGGTTCGTCTTTAACTATATTAACTAGTGCAAAAATTTGGTTTGCAATTTATCTATATTGTAAAAGAACTGTATATTGAACGTTTACGATACATTGATTTATGAACTTTAAAGTTAAAATGATCTATAAGATGAGTTTTGTAATGCAATTTTTGATTTATATTATTGAGACCTGAGCAGAATAAAATAATTTGAAATGCAGAAATTAGTTGCGTTTATTTTTTCTATAACTAAATAGCAATGAATGAAATCATTTTAGAATCTTCGTCTTCATTGTAACTCTCCTTTATCAGAAAAATATTAGTTCAAACAAACGGTATCAGTTGAAGAAATTCTCTTACAAGACTCTTGACATTTATTTCGGAGAAGAAAAACAAAATTAACAAATGATAAATTTACGATGAATAAATTAATCAGATTTGGTTTAGTGTCAAAAGTAAACATTGCATGACTGATGGAAATATCACTCTTTATTACACTTGCTCTTCCGATTAAACAAAACATTTCTTTAACTATGAAAAGGAATATCTCAAAATCCTATAAAGACTTCTCTATCATTCGTTCAAAGTTGTCTTTAGTGGATTTATAAATAGATAGAATTGATTTACTCCAATATTCATCCATTCTTCAGCAGTCTTTTTGTATAAAACATATTTTTATTTTAAACTATATAATTAATATATAGATTATCTGACTAATAATAATCATAGAAAAGAATTGCTTTGATTTTAAGTATATCTATACTACACAATATAAAATCGTTTTAATAATCAAATTAAAAAAATACTTTCTACAAATAATTAGATGATTTCTGAACACATTGAAATTCATTGGCAAACATGTATAAATTATACTGGACAATAGAATGCACTATGTAGTTAATAAAGTACATTTTTACTAATCAAAAAAACAATTGACAAAGGAAAGCTACAGACAAATCAATTAGCAGAAGATTATTGATGGAATATTTACCAATGCTAAAAGTAATGAGTGAAAAACAAGAATATTATTAAACAAAAAAGTCTAGCCAATCAAGTAAATTCGAGACAGAAAAAGAGCTCGTATCGAAACATATTCGTTGCATACCGACTGATATGCTCGATCTCCATTTATCTTTTGCATTTCGATAAAGTTCAAAATTTTTCAAACGGTGTCCCTGTTAAATGCAATCTGAATCTTATTTAATCTGTGCTTTTAGAAGTTTTCTTATTTGTCAAGAATTTTCAACTTTTCTACATAGAAAAGATACAATTGATAACTCACAAGGTCATTTATAGAAACGTATTCTAATGACCAATGATTACTTTTTGAAAACTACTTTTGTGAAATATTGCTATTTCGCTTCAGATGAACGAAAATAATATTGATAATAGTGCAATTTCGGTTGAACATTCTTTTACTGAACAACATCCTCACGTCGACAATGGTCAACATGAAAACTCAAGACAGAATATATCTAATTCAGTAGGATTTGTCGATGTTACTAACAAAATGAAGAAGTCATCAATGACTCCAACATTATTGTATATCAGTTTCTTTTTTTCTCCATCATGATAACATATAGAATATTTTCGTTAGGGAATACTCGTGGTCGTCAAAACATCGATATTTAATAGCTACGGTTTCATTTGCTATGTTCACAATTCTAGTAATGACTCTTGGTATACTGACAGTTTGTTTCACTTCACGAAAATTTAGCGGTATGTTCTTTTTTATAAGTAGAATAAGATATGACCGAAGACCTATAACTAAAAACTCAACAGAACACTTGTGATTATTTCTTATTGAATAGATCAATATAAATCATAGATTGCTCATTGTGCAAAAACGAACAAAAATAAATAGTTGCACACTAATTAGTGAAACAGATGTCAGTGAACCTTCGTTGCTTTTATGACGAAACCACGGACACAAACATTTACTATTGCAGATGTACGCTTTCAATATTATTGTTATCTTCTTCTTTGCTTATATAGTGTACTTTTTGTGCATAGTTAGTCAGTCGACAGACTCACATCTTCCGTTGTCTCTTGTTATAACTTTTCCCATTGTTATTTTCAAGTATTTCTAGGAAAAAGTGTAATATCTAGTCTGTTATTGTGATCACAAGTCGAAGGCATCGACTAAATCGCTAACATTATTAAACTTCTCATTTACATCATATTTGTTGACATTCTTCTCTATTCTCAAAGATGAAACATTTTCCGAACGAATTCTACAGTAAATTAGAAAAAGAAAACAAACAGGTAATCTGATTGATGAATTCGAATATTTAACTCTATGCGAATTTCAAGAAACTAAGCGAAATTCTGTAGAAAGATGATTGTTTTGATTTGTGTCCAAGTAGAGAATACGACCACTTCTAACAACGTATCATAGGGGCTGTGAGAATCCAATATGATCCAATAGGAATAGTTGCACTTAAGCAACTAATCAGTCTTCACATCGTTTTTCATGTGTTGTTTAGTTCAAAAGTGTGAAGTAAAGTTCAAATCCACGGCTAAAAACCCAATTGAATACAATTATGGGCCTAGATCTGTTGCTGTTGGTGATTTCAATAACGATACTTGGCTAGATATGGCTATTGCCAATCATCTCGTTGATAATATTGCTGTATATCTTGGATATAGCAATCGAACGTTTTCCAGTCCAATTGAGTGTCCGACGGGTACTGGATCTGCTCCATACATGGTTGCTGTTGATGACTTCAACAATGATTATCAATTGGATATCGCAGTCGCAAATTTTGGCATTAATAACGTCGGTATATTTCTTGGACTTGGAAATGGATCTTTCACGAAACACGAAGAACTTTCAACTGGTTCATCTCGTTCAATTTCCATTACTGTAGCTGATTTCAATAATGACAGATGCGTTGATATTGCCACCACCAATTATGGAACCCATAGTATAAGTATATTCTATGGATATGGCAATGGAAACTTTTCGGATCCACTTACATACTCAACGGGCTATGATTCGTTTCCATCCTCATTAGCCGTTGGAAATTTTAATAATGACAAACATTTAGACCTTGCCATCGCTAATTATGGCACCAATAATGTAGGTGTCTTTCTTGGAAACGCCAACGGTATTTTTGAAAATCAAATAACCTTTTCAACTAACATTGGCTCTCATCCATACTCAATCAGTGTTGGCGATTTCAATCACGACACTCTCGATGACATTGCTGTCGCTAATTATGGAACTAACAAGATAGGCGTACTTATTAGTAATGGTAACGGAACTTTTGCACACCAAACTACCTATTTGATTGATTCTTCTTCTCCATATTCGATTGGCGTTGTTGATTTTAACCAGGACAAACATCTGGACTTAGTCGTTACTAATAATGGCACAAAGAACATAGCTATACTTTTTGGATACGAAAACGGTACTTTTGAAAATCCAATGATGTATTCAACTGGAGCAGCTTCTTCCATCTCATTTACCATAGAGGATTTCAACAAAGATAATTGGGCAGATATTGTTGTCGTTAGCAATGATTCTGGTTCCATAGATATTCTCCTTGGTTACTACGAGCGCTTTGCAAATCAAATGACATATTCATCTGGCTCTTTCCCATCGTCTGTAGCTGTTGGCGATTTCAACAACGACACCCGACTAGATATCGTTGTCACCAATTCAGGTAGTAATAATGTCAGCATCTTTCTTGGATATGGTAATGGTTCTTTTGCAAATCAGATGTCATATCCAACGGGTTCTAATCCATACTCTGTAGCTGTTAGTGATTTGAACAACGATAATCGACTCGATATTGTTGTTGCCAATATGGATAACAATGATGTCAGTGTGCTTCTTGGATATGGTAATAGTTCTTTTGCAAATCAAATGATATATTCTACTGGCAACGGTTCATCGTCTGTAGTTGTTGCTGATTTCAACAACGACACTCGACTCGATATCGTTGTCACCAATGTACACAGCAATGATATCAGTGTCCTTCTTGGATATGGTAATGGTTCTTTTGCAAATCAAACGAAATATTCAACTGGTTCTTATCCATTCTATGCAGCTGTTAGCGATTTCAACAATGATACTCGGCTGGATATCATTGTTGCTAATGTGTATAGCAATGATGTCAGTGTCCTTCTCGGATATGGTAATGGTTCTTTTGCAAATCAGATGACATATTCAACTGGTTCTAATCCATACTCTGTAGCTGTTGGCGATTTGAATAATGACACTCGACTCGATATTGTGGTCGTTAATTACGGTAGCAATGATGTTACCGTTCTTCTTGGATATGGTAATGGCTCTTTTACAAATCAAATGAACTATCCAACTGGCTCTCGCCCACAATCTGTAGCGGTTGGTGATTTCAACAACGATACCCGACTGGATATCGTTGTCGCCAATTACGGTAGCAACGATGTTACCGTTCTTCTTGGATATGGTAATGGCTCTTTTGGAAAACATATGATCTATTCAGCTGGCTCTGGTTCAGGGTCTCTAGCTGTTGGCGATTTCAACAACAACAGCCGACTCGATATCGTTGTTGCCAACTACTATAGCAATAATATAAGTGTATTGCTTCAACATAATAGAGTAATTCTGGTAAACGAAACGACATTAGCATCTGGTGGTGGCGCTCGTCTGCGATATGTTGCTGTCGGCGATGTGAATAATGATACTCAATTGGATATCGTCGTTGCTAATTACGGCACTAATACTGTAGGTGTCCTTCTTGGATATGGAAATGGTACTTTCATAAACCAAATGATGCTCAGTACTGGCTCAAATTCCCATCCAGCATTTATTGTCATCGGTGATTATAATGGTGATACTCAATTGGATATTGCTGCTGGCAATTCTGGTTCGAAGAATGTAGATATACTGCTTGGAAATGGACAGGGAACATTTACTATTCAAACAAGTAATGGAATCCGTTTCATATCCACTCCGTCTATTGCTACTTCTGGTGATTTCAATAATGACGAACAATCGGAGATTGTTGTTGCATATGATGACAGTGATACTGTAGATGTCCTTGTTGCATACAACGTTGGATCTTTTACTAATCAAATGAAGTATTCAACTGACTATGGCCCATACTCTGTAGCTATTGCTGATTTCAACAATGACACTCGACTGGATATTGTTGTCGTCAATTCTGGTAGCAACGATGTCAGTGTCCTTCTTGGTTATGGTAATGGTTCTTTTGCGAATCAAATGACCTATTCAACTGGATCTTATCCAACATCTGTAGCTATTGTTGATTTGAATAATGACACTCGACTGGATATCGTTGTCGCCAATTACGGTAGTAATGATGTGAGCATCCTTCTTGGACATGGTAATGGCTCTTTTGCAAATAAACTGACATATTCAGCAGGTTCTTATCCATTCTCTGTAGCTGTTGGAGATTTCAACAACGATACTAGAGTGGATATCGTTGTCGCCAACTCGTACGGCAATGATGTGAGTGTATTTCTTGGATATGGTAATGGCGCTTTTACCAATCAAATTAAATACGCAACTGGTTCTTCTCCATCGTCTGTAGTTGTTGCTGACTTCAATAATGACACTCGATTGGACATTGTTACTGCCAATTGGGATAGTAATGATGCTAGTATCCTTCTTGGATATGGTAATGGTTCGTTTGCAAATCAAATGACATATGCAACTGGTTCTAATCCATACTCCGTCGCTGTTGGTGATTTCAACAACGACACCCGACTAGATATCATCATCGTCAATTACGGTAGCAGTGATGTCAGTGTTCTTCTCGGATATGGTAATGGCTCTGTTACAAATCAAACGACATATTCAACGGGATCTGGTTCTGATCCATCATCTGTAGTTGTTGGTGATTTCAACAACGACACTCTACTCGATATTGTTGTCGTCAATTACGGTACCAATGATGTCTCTATCTTTCTTGGATTTGGCAATGGTTCTTTTAGGAATCAGATGACATATTCAACTGGCGCGTCTCCATCGTCTGTAGCTATTGATGATTTCAATAACGACAGTCAACTGGATATCGTTGTTGCCAATTATGGTAGCAATGATATAAGTCTACTTCTTGGCCATTCCAATACAGTTTTCATAAACGAAATGACACTAATAACTGGTAATGGTTGCCGACCACGATCATTTGCCGTTGGTGATTTTAACAATGATGATCGAATGGACATCGCCATTGCCAATTCGGGTACACACAATATTGGTATTTTGCTTGGATACGGTAATATCTCGTTTACAAATCAAGTGACATATTCAACTGGTCCGTCTTCGTCTCCATACTCTATAGCTGTTTGTGACTTCAACAACGATAGTCGACTTGATATCGTCGTCGCTAATTATGGCTCTGATAACGTGGGTATTTTTCTCGGGTATGGCAATGGCTCTTTTACAAATCAAACGACATATTCATCGGGCTCTAATTCTGATCCATATTCTGTAGCTGTTGATGATTTTAACAACGATACCATACCAGACATTGTTGTCGCTAATCATGGTACCAATAATCTTGGTGTATTTCTTGGATATGGTAACGGGACATTTACCAGTTTTATTTCATTTTCGTTGGACTACGGGTCCAATCCATTCTTCGTTGTCACGGGTGATTTCAACAATGACAGAAAGGTGGATTTGGCCGTTGCAAATGATGGCACTGACAGTTTAAATATTCTCTTACAGTCTTGTTAATCTTGTACTTTGTTCATCATCTTGTTTTTATTATTCATTTCATTTATGTTATCGTATAAAATCAAAATTATTCTTTAAACTTTCAAATATTTCTTCATTACGAACGTTGCGATCATTAAAATGTGAAACACGATAGAGTCATTGAAAAAGTACACAAGGGTGGATGTGGGTGTGAGTGAAGAGAGAGCACACCCCACACCCACACCCATCTCTTAATTTATTAATTCTATTGAATCTTTATCAGTCTGTTGATTAGGAATGTGCATATAGCATCAGTGAAGATAATTGTTAAAACAAAATTATTTCAGTTCGTTTATATGCGTTTTTCATTTTACCCAAAAAAAGATATTTATTTGACAAACTAAAAGCCTTTTTTTTCATTCTGTTATCGATTAATAGAATATTAAGACTTTACTCTTGTGTACTCCTATTTCAAATACTACAAGAATTTTATAATAAGCTGACTTGAAGTAATGGTTAACAAGATTGCGTTTCAAAAAAATCTGGCTAATAAATTAAACAAGTTATTTTTAAGAACTTAAATATTTCTCATTCAGAAGGCAGTTTTTTTGACAAAGTCAACCGTGTGTTCCCAGTGATGTCGATTGACTATTCGTTATTTATTAACATGAAGATCATCTATTTACTCTCTTTTTATTTGAACTTAGTCACAAGAACATGTCATTAATTATTTTTAGAACTATCTAAAAATTAATATCATACTTGATCATTTTCTTATTTTGTACTATTCTTAGACACGTCACAGTTTACATTAGAATTCAATTGAATTTTAAGTATTATAAGAATACAAATAGACATTACTATTCTATCTTTGTTTTGTCATTTATATTTGAATCTAACAAAAACTCACATTGGCAATAATCTAACGAGCAAAACATTTTCAATTAAGCAATGTCTTTTCAAACGTACTTCTTCTCTACTCGAAACATTTGTATTAAAATACTTTCCATTTTTTCCTCCTTACGTCTAACAGATACGATATGATACAAACCACTGTTTAAAAAGAAAAAAAAATAAATCAGCGAGCGGTTTAAAATAATAAACATTGACTACTGTTATTATCCTTCCATCTACTTTCTACGTTTCACATACACTCTTTTCTGAATCTACTATCTATTGTTCTCTCATTATCTTTTACTTTTAATCTCTCGTACTTTAAATAAGGACACAAGTATATGATTACCCAATATGTACTGAAAAAAAGAAGTGACAGCGTTCTCTAACGTATTTTACTGATCCAGTTTATTAGTGTTACTACGTAGTTTCTTAAACTTTATAAAATCATGTATCTCATTTCTTGTTAACCCTAGTGGAACAATAAACTCTATATTAAAAAACAAGGTTAATCTGGCATGAATCGCATTGACAGCTTTTAATATTAGGATCTGAAAGATTAATAAATATTTTGTCTTCAAGTTTTGCCGATAGCAATATTGCATCTCACTTTAATTGGATAGAAGACGACACGAACAAAATAACATGCTTTTTACGTCTGCAATCATATATAACAGAGAGCAACTAAACAATCTTCGATTGTATTACTTCTGATAATAACCGAAGCAAGAAATTTATCTATTAACTTGGTTATACAGTCGACTGAAAGAATAACAATTTCTGAGTTGACATGCATTGTAGAACAAATCATTTTGTATTGAAACTTTTAAAAACTATTTTCATGATATTTATTACTCATATTATTGATAAAAATGCTGTGAAAATAAGCTGTAGATTTTATTTACTAGACAACACAACGATGATCATTAAAAAGTAGTTGTTGCTATTAATTGTGGACCAACTACATGACGAGATAATATTAATGTCTAAGGGCCAACTGCTTGTGGTTGTCGTCGACAATATGAAAATATTTTGTTAATTTTTTTTCTAAGTTCAGGCATTGATATAGCACATACAAAAGGTAATAAAAGATTGCCATGATATTCAAAGAATTTTGCATATAACATAAAATCGGCACCCACTTCTTCAGCAATGCCACAAAGATGAACGAATTCCAATAACATATTTGGTATGTATATAAAAAGATACAGAACTGATATTGATAATACTTGAATCGTCATCTTTCGATGATTTCGCCAACGAATTGGTCGATGCATTTGAGATTTTTTATAGAGAACACGTAAAAGAAGAAGAATACTACAGAAAATAATCACTATTGTAGGTAAAATATCGTTAACTATAACGTCTCACATTGCTACTGATGGAACTTCATAATAACAAAGAGAATTACCACATGAAAGTTGAGAATAATCATATATATTTTCACATGGTGAAAAAATAATTACAATAGTATTATAACAGATGCAATAGAGAAAAACTATGACCACTGGTAAATAATGAAAGAAAATAAATTTATATTTTGTTGATAATAATTTATCATGAAAGATGAGAATATGTCGTTCAATAGTTGCCCAAGCAAATAGAATTGTTGTTAAAATATAGAAAGCTTCATTAATAAAAATCCATGTAAGACAAAACAAACACTTTGGTGGCCAAACATATCCTAAACGATAATAATTAAGAGCCCATGGAATATTTGTTAGTTGAGCAATAAAATTGACGAAAAGAAGAAGAGCAATAACATGATTATGCAGAGCTTGGCGTAATGTTCGTTGGACAATAAAATTATACAAAATGAACAAAGAACAGATAACCGATGGAATGTATACGAGAAGAATAATCCAGAAACGTGCTACACGAGGAATGGCGATTTCAGAAGGTAACACGGTTGTATCCTCGTAAGAACTGGTGTCTTTACTTAACATTTCTTTTTATAAATTTTAAATCACAACGAAGAGAAAAAAGATATCCAAACTGTGTGTCAAATGCAGGAGAACGGGGAAAAAGTATTATTTGACAAGTACTCATTTTTTTCAACACAAGAGAATTAATAGAATCTTTAGCGGCGTACTCATCGTCTTATATGAGAACGAGCATTCTGAATCAGCTATTAATATACATTCAATATACAAATGATGATTATTTTAAGAACTGACGTCGCTGTAGACATTTATAATCTTTTTTTTTGGTCAGGTGCAAGTTTATGGCATGTCAATTTAATACAGAAAAGTACTACACTAGATGTGACCTAGTAACAATAAAAAGTATCAAAGGTGTTGGTTATCTATCAGCTTTTAATATATACATGTCATTTTATTTACCGAATGAAAGACAGGTATAATATCGAGATTTTTAAACATATGAGAATTCTTCGTATGAAATAAAGACAAGAAATTACATTACAATTTTTTCTTCCAATTAATTCAATGTATCAGACAGTCAGCAATGTAATCATGAAATATATTTTTTTTTTGGATTATGCTTTTATTTGTTTATGTTACACTCTGGAGTGCTTACATAGGAAGTTGAAAAAAAAGGGGAAAGGAACTAGCTGGAGCAGGTGCAAGTGATTCTAATTATCATTGTCGGGGCTATCCTTAACATGTTGTTTAATCCTAATCTTTTCCATAAGGTTCACGTGAAGTAGTATGTGAGACTAAAATAATTGTTTAGAGTTATATGAAATTGATCCATTTGATTAGCAATGTCTCATGCCTTTCAATTAACTTTTTAACTCTTTTTTTGTCTGAAAAGGTGCCCTAGCAAGTCCTTCTCATTCTTTTTCAAACATTCCCAGTAGAATATATCTTCAAGAAAGGTTGATCGTCCCAGATCCGACTTATAAATATTACGTAATCTTTTATTTATGTATCTTCGAACATAAATCTCCATAGGATCCTCCATTGTCACTGTAAATAAGTCATTCGCCGATACAAATGGACATCGATATACTATTCTAATGGCCGTTCGGAACTTTCTGTTAATTGATTTTTTTGTGTGTCTTAGGAAGAAATGGATAAAAGGGGAAGATTCACGCAAAATGTGGAAAAACATATGCGAAAAATCATTGTCTTAAAACATGGACCGAGATTTGTCTACCTTTATTCAACCACATCAGTTTGATCAGTGCCTTCTCTATTTTTACGAGACAAGTGTCAATTGTTGGTTTCATTGACATCTTGCTAGTCCCTGTGAAACCTAAATATTTGAATGGATTGACTAGTTCTAGTTGATGACCATCCATAATCATGAAATATATTCATAAATATCTATGAGAGAAATTATTCTGTGTTTATTTCAGTAATGATTCTTTTCACATTTAATTATGATTGAGTATCGTTTCTTTGGATTATAAGAATAGAGATATGTGAATTTTGTCTTCAACATATGGGTGTGGGTGGGTGTGGATATGAGACGACACTGAAGAGACCCACACCCACACCCACACCCACGCACACCCTCGAACTTTCTCTTTGTCTTTATATTTTTTTTTAATAATCTGGGAACTTTTGGTCAGACCTAAGTAGAATGACTCTCCGATCGAGAACTGCCATTTGCATTCTTATCACTTATTACTGCGGCAAAGTTTTAAAATGGCGAATGATGAGAATCTACGCAATCCAAAGGATGAAAACTTTTAGATTTGAAATGAGTAAAGATTTATGAAGCACTGCTATTCACAACACCGAAGGGATAGACAGGAAGTAAGCTGTAATATGAGAATGAGACTTCTCATTTCTTGATACTTCAAAGCAAACTGTTTGCCCAACTAGTATAGACGAAAGTAGAACTCGATATTGATTTGAAGTGGTCGACATTGAACAAAAGATTATCAGCATAATTAATCCAGCATTCGTTTCACAATAAGTTGGGATATTATAATTATTGATGCGTTTGCTCAAAATAACCTTCAGTCGTTGAGAAAACTAGTTTGATGAATTTCAAACTTGCTAATAATCTATTGGTATGTGTGAGTGTAGATGTTGGGGTTGACGAAGAAATAGCCACAGCACAGTCACATCACATACCTCCACATCCTCCACCAATAAAATCAAACGCATTGGGTGTCTTATCTGTTCACATTGTTCAATTTTGGGTTTTAATCTTCATGCTGAAGAATCCAATAAAAACTTGTGGAACAAATACAGTTTCATAGTAGATATCCATTCCAAAAACTTGATTAGTTGTAAGTTTAGACTAGCTGATTTTGAGTGAAATCATCAAGATCTTTGTCTAGGTTAATGTATCATAATTAGTTTGGAGATAGGCTGCCATTTGTGTTTTGAATTTTTTAGAAATTCTTTTTATTGTGCTATGTAATTAAATAAAGTTTTCAATCAACAAATAGAAAATAAAGCTCACTGATTAATCCATAAATCGGTTTATTTATATACTAAGTAGTGGATTTTTTTCTAATTAGGAAACTCAAAAAGAGTGATAAATGTATATATAAAATATATAATAATCACATATTTCTCAGCTTCCAGCTTCTGAAAACTTCAATTTGCTTGTTAGAATTATTAAACAACACTTATGATTTTTTTTTAGGTAGTATCTATCTATTTCGATTCAATTAATGGAAATATCAGCACAAAAAGTTTATATCATTATACGAAAGAAGGTGACCATGACTTTTGGACGCCAGTTTTGTTCACGTTGAATTTGGTTTACTTCTCACGATCCATTTGGTGTATGATTACGCTGCATGATTCATCAAATCTATGTCGAATGTACTACGGTGCATGACATCTAGTTTGAGCGAAAACATCACAGAAAAAATTCTGACTGAAACGTATTAAATCAGAAGACACTCACCTATATATTTTCACAAAAATTGAGTTTCACGCAGGTGATGACACTATACTATAGTCACAGTATGACAATTATTCAACTATAATTTTGCTTGAAAACCAATACAAAACGAAAGATGTCGTTGAATATATTTTTTTGCTTTAGTGTAGCTCCGTAACTATAGCTCTTTAGAATAATTTAGCATGATAAATAATTTGTATCACTAAGATACTTTATATGCTGCAAATATCGACTTTTAAAAATAAGCTTCATTCTAACTTCATTAATGGATATTAAAATCGACTTTGATTGGTGCCACCAAATTACGTACTAAGTCATCCAGAGAGAAAAACGGCATATAGAATCCAAAGTACAGTAAACACAGCTAATTCTTAATATTCCTTTTCAGATTAATGATCATGAAAACATATTGTCTCATTTATTTACTAACCTTTTGTTTGATGAAATATTCATCAACTACCCTTGTTGATGGAATAACAACATTGTCTTTGTCACGTAGTGCATCAATTCCAGTATTAGATCGCTTTTTAACTAATGATACACAAATTCAATTAAAAATTCTTTGTCGTGAATCATCTGCAAATATAAAGGAAACTCAAAATCAAATAAAAAGAATTTTAAATAAAGAATATGAAAAAAAAAAAGTTGAAATACGTGGTCGAATTGGTCGTATTGTTGGATGCTTACCATTGCAATCGGATGCATTTGTGGCTACAAATCAATTAACATCAAAAGATAGTAGAGATGCGCAAAGTTTATTACAAACGTTTTATGATGATTTATGGAAACAAATGGAACAAAGAACATTTACAATGCAGCAAGTTAATTGTGAAAATTCAGTAGAATTAGATGTTTATGAATATAGCAATATAAAAGTACCAGACATCTCACCAGAAAAAGCTGTGGAATTAAGAGAACAATTTTTGAAACAAGAACATGAACAAATGACTACAAATCAACGTAAGATTAAATATTTATTTGTTTAAGTAAATTTTAAATTGAATACTTTAGAAAATAACATTCGTCATAGCGATGCTGCGGACCAAATGATAATAAAATTGAATGATGAACAATCACCGTTAGCATCTGTTTTAAAGAAACACACAATAAATAGATTACGAACATGGGCTGATGGTTATTATCTTATTGAAATCGCTCAACCAATTTTCATTGATTCAAATACTCCTGAACTTGATGTTGATGTAATTGTATCAATGAAAAATCACCATGGTGGATATATAACAGCGGATGAATATCCATCATTAGTTTTTTATTATGTTATGTGTGGTATCTATGCTTCATTTGCTATTTTATGGTTTACTTGGTGTATATTGTATTGGAAAAAGTTACTTCATATACAATTTTGTATAGGTGGTTGTATTCTTATTGGTTTGATTGAAAAATTAGAAATTTATGCTGAATATGATACTATTAATCGATATGGGTAAATATTAAAAAAAAACAATAATTTGCAATATTAATTTTTCAATTTCTGTAGATATAAAGTTCATTTTGATATTGTTACAGCTGAAATTGTTTCGTGTTTAAAACGTACTGTGTTACGTATGCTTTTTATTATTGTTGCACTTGGTTATGATATAGTTAGAAAACATTTAGGACAGTTAAAACAAAAATTAATTGCTACGGGTATACTTTATTTTGTACTAGCTACAATAGAAGCACTACTTCGTTTAAATACAAAAAAATGATGAAACAAATAATCAAGTATTAATTTCACGTATTCCATTAGCTATTATTGATGCTATTATTTACTATTGGATATTTACGGGTTTAGTTGCAACAAAACGAACATTACGCTTAAGACAAAATACTGTTCAATTGAATGTTTATCGACATGTTACGAATACACTTATAGTTACTGTTATTGCAAGTGTATTATTCATGATTTGGTCATTAAAATCACATTTTTTTACTACATGTATTACGAATTGGAGAGACTTTTGGGTAATAAATGTTTCTTTTTCGTTTTGTTTAATAAAAATAATTGTATTTAGATTGATGAAGCATTTTGCCATATACTTTCTTCATTACTTATTCTTGTCATCATGTTTTTATTTCGACCATCCAATAATAATCAATTTAATCATTTTGTTGATTTATTTGATCATTTGGATAATGACAATGATGACGAAAAGAAAAAATGTGAGTTAAATAATATCAACAGTACATCAATATTTTATTTTTTTAAACAAAAAGTTCTTTCTTATATCTATATCGAAAAACGTAGATATTGGGATTTAACCTTTTTATTCTTTTCTTTTTGTAGAATCCGGTGTATTTGATTCAGTAACAATTTATAAAGCAACCAATATTGAAAATGATACAGCATCAAAGAGTGAAAAGCAACAACAAGCATCTTTGAATCATAAAGCAACAATATCAGATAGTGCCGCTGAAGTTTCAAATGGTAATGTTGTCGTTGAAGATAATATTACAACGTCAATCGTTAGTCATGCATTAGATGGTGAATATAAAGTTTTCGTTACAGAATTCGAACGATCGAAGATATAATAAAATATTAAAATAACATTAAACTTGTGTTGCAATACAAAAGATCTTCAAAAAATATAAAATTATGTATTTTGTTCTTAGTACTTTTCTCATAGAGTTTTTCTTTCTTTTTTTTTGTCTTTATCTACTAAACTGAACCATATTTAGCAATCTTATTTTTGATATGCCTTTCTCTGTATCTAGACGTTCTATTAACATGCACTTCCTTTTGTTTGTTCGTTCATTCTTTACTTTCTATGCATATAAAAGTTTTCATACCGTCTTTTCTCTTTATTTTCGTTTCTGACAAAACATGTCGTATCACATGCTTTGATTTCATTTTGGATGTGGACGTCGATATTCACTTCATCGATGCATCGACACCTTTTTTTTATCTTTTTTTAGCAACTTCTTAACTTTCAGAGATTTTGAAATGATAAAAAAAAAATACTTATTAACAAGAAACTAGGCAAGAAAATATCCAAACGTTCACCAGAAACTAGGGATGTCACTTTACCTTTACTTTACAAAAGTAACTAAGTAACTAAAGTAGTTACTTTACTATAGTTACTTAAATAAAAAGTAAAGTAAATGTGCCACCCCTATGTCTGCTATGTTTTTATTTAAATGTAATAAAAGGTAGTCGTGGACAATATATATTTGTTTAAATAACAAAATGTCGTTTCTTGAACTACTTGGGTACAGTTTTATTTCTCTAACCGTAAGTTTACCCTGCATCACTCTATTGTGATGATCAAGATGAGTGAAAAAGCTTATTAGCACAGTTCCTATTCACGAAAAGCTTTGGAATATTCTAGAATTTTGTTGAATTCACCTCGATTTTCGAAGAAAATGGTTAAATTTTTAAGTCGAATATTTCTGGCTTTTCTCTCTACCCACCTTAAGACCTTAGCAACCGAGGATAACAGACGACAGATTATTTTTCCCGAGTTCCTCAACGGCTAAAACGGCATTAACAATAAAACTTAGACTGGGCTAGAGAATTCTAGAACGTTTCAAAGTCTTTCGCAAAATTTGAATAGCTGAAATATTTTACGGAGTGCACGTTTTTATTTTTGTGTTAATAAAAATTTACATGGCAAATGTCAAGAATATTAGATAGATATGAATTAATCAAGTTACAACTTTGAGAAATAATCAATGTCAGGATTGGTGAGCTTATCAAAATATATAATAGTGTGTTGAAACTTGCTCCTGTAGACATAATGAGTATGTACAACAGACTTCTCGACTAGTTAATTCAATGCTTAGAATAATAACAATCGAATAGCAATGGAGCAAACAAAACATTGAGTGCCAATAAACGGTAAGAATGGATGTCAATGGAAGGAGAAAAACACCCACTAAAAAAAGTTGGAAATTTTTCGTAAAAGCTGCACTGTTAGATTCTCTCTTCACAAAAAAAAATGGAACTGAAAAATCCTACGGAACTTTACAGATGATATTCTATAAATGTTTAAGTAAATATTTGCTTGATAGCGCAATGTTTCAATATATAGAGAACAATAAAAGCTATGATGTTAAATTTAGTGATGCAAGCGGCAACGACTCTGCCGATTGACTTACAACTCTAAATTCATTGTAATGAGAAATCATATCATCGCGTGCAAGTCTTCAGAATTCGTGTGTATTCTCACTTCCGACAATTCAATGGTATATCTTTCAAGAAACAAAAAAAAAAATCTTTTATGATTTCTTTGTGTAGAGATATGAGTAAAATACGCAATGTTGCAATCATTTTGACAATAAACCAGTGTTTATCAGTAGTAAAATTGTCTTTATTTATTATCATTAATTGACATGTTTCAAGTAAGAATCAACTTACAACTGCATTTTTTACAATTAATACAGAAAAATAAATGTTAATTTTTGTTTTCGTATCTCATACTCAAGGATAGGATTATGTTTGTTTGCATAATTTAATTTAATTTAATATAAAATCATATTTGAATAGAAAAGAAAAGCAATCATTTTATTGTTAAATAAAGAAAAATTTGAAATTAGAGAATATAATTTCTTATTCAGTAAGAAATTGAATTGCATAAAGAGGCTTTGTTTATTGAAGATTTTTTCGTAGGCAATTGAATTTGATGTAAATACAAGGTTAACAAAAACTTACCTCCATATGAAATATAATATCTACACTTATAAGATTTTATTTTTGACATTATTTCTTTTACAATAGATTGAACTATTTTCAAAATTCTACCGCATGTGAAAACAAAAAAAAAAGAAAGCTGTTTTGAAATAAAATCGTATTTTCTCGATTTAGAATCTCTTGTAAAAATTCAATCATGAAATAATGAAATAGAGTACCCTAAAAGTTTTAGCTATAATTCTTAAAGAATGACTTATCATTATTAAAATCGATTATTAATACTTAAAAACAAGTGTTGATTATGTCTTTCTTATGACCATGAACTATAAGGATGTGACTGTTGGATATTTGTTCACCCACATCCTAGCATACACAACTGACAGATGACCTTTAGTCTCGTTATACTAATACAATATACGTCAAATGAAAGATCTTTAATTCGTGCATTTCGAACAGAATTGTTTGTACTAGAACCAGTGTGGGAGTTAAAACTAATATCGATTTCAAAATAAAAGAAGGGTGAGTATTTCTAAAATAACTTTTGATAGGAACAAAACAGAGAGCTACGATTTTCACTGTTAGAAAGAGGCGATGAAATTGCATCGATTCGTATATTTCAGATTCTTTCTGACAAGTATTTTGAGGTATCCCCACGAAGTTTACTAAAAAATCTCACATTTTAGACGTGAAAAAAATTGATTGCTTTATTAATAACTGAGGAAAAAACGCCATTTTTTCGTTAAAAATCGACCAAAACCACGCAGTAACGTGTTCCTAACTCAGGACTAGTTAAAGATAATAACGTCAGACTTGTATAACTGATAGAAGTTTAGTAAGTGATTCTAGTGCCATCCTGGAAATTACAAGTCCATAATCTTCACATTATGTATCGTTTTGTCTTTTGAAAACTTGTCGAAAGACCCTTAAAATACTTGTCAGAAAGAATCTGAAATATACGAATCGATGTAGTTTCATCGCCTCTTTCCAACAGTGAAAATCGCAGCTCTGTATCTTGTTCCTATCAAAAGTTATTCTAAAAATATTCACCTTTCTTTTATTTTGAAACCAATATTAATTTCCTAAAAGTTGATTGTTGAGAAAAATAGCAAAAAGTTAAAATGATTATAACTTCGGTTGTAACTCTCAACTATAGTTATAACTTTCAAGTTCTTAATTTATTGACAAGATTTAATTAAGTTGAAATGATAATCACCTTGATTTATTGACATGCTCAATAGAATAGATGAACATACAAGTATTTCAAACGTCTTTCACTTCAAAAAAGCAATATTTCAGAATTGAATGTTAAGAAAATTCGGTACTAGGACAATTCGTTGCAAGACAATTGGTCACAATGACATAATTCGATTATAATTTATATCCATTTTTCAATAATGAAGTGATTATTCAATTAAGTTTGAAACATCTAATCCAATGAGTATAAACATTATTTGAAATATTACTAACGACCAAAATCCAATTTTTCATCTTCAACAGTACGATAATCCTTTTGTCTGCATAAAAAGTTAGTTTAATCGAGCTATATCGACGGTGATAGTTTTTTTTTTTATACTAGTGAAAGTAACATTATAACTTTCTTCTAATTGAGGCCGCAACTCACGGCTTCTAATAATAAAAAAAAATACTTGTAAAGAACTAGCAAAACTAAGCGTCCACTGCAGTACAGCAACTTTGACTTCACTAAAAAAAACAACTTTTATTAGTTGCTTGTTCCCCTGAGTAATGTAACAAGGGACTTTCTTCGAGTTTCTCTTAGAAAAAAGATAATGGTTGCATCTTCTATTCTTTCAATCTTCCCTTTCCTTTCGCACTCGTCATCTTGATTTTCTTTATTGTTAAGGTGTCGCCGACTTATTGCTTTTCACTCGCTTAGTTGCCATGGCAAATTCTTCTTCTTCTTCTTCTCCTTGTTCTCGACGCATAAGTCACGATTGAAGTTAGCCACTCGTTCTCAGCTCCAAAGCATTATTTTCAATCGAAAAAAACCTTGGCGAGTTCCTGAGAATATGGCAAGTGCACATCTGAAATCCGTTTTTCGAAATTCGACAGCGTTCGGGAGATATAAATAATCTCAAAAATGATAATTAACAGCTGATAGTTTCCTTATATGGTTATACATGACTCAGTTTTAAAAGACCATTCATTATTCAGATCTCATGTGCATATATACTTTAATTATCGCCTTGCATAGTTTAACTTCATCCATGAAGAAGTCTCGAACATTTAGAAAAATCTCTGCATGGTTTATACACATGAGATACAATGAGCGATAATGAACAGCTGAGAACTTCCTTATATGGACATATATGATTCAGATTGATTATCTCTTTCACTTGTCATTGGAGCCGAGATAGCTGAACGCGACTGAAATTCATTACGATTTCCTCCACGCGAGCCTTAAATTTAGAAATAGCAGATGTCGTTTACGATCGGATTTGGAGATCGTCGGGCGTTGCGCAGTCAACCGCCTATTTTTCTACTCGAGCTTCGCTCGAGTGGCAGTCTAGTCCTATTTCTCCTCTTCGCTCGTCGACATATCAACACGGAGAACCGAGAGCAAAGTAGAATACAATACGTGCTGATATAATTAGGAGCGTATGTATAAAAGTGGATAGAGAATAACCTGATGCAGCGATTTCGTATTAGAATACAACACATGCAACTATACAAGATAGAATCTTATCTTAATTTTCTCACAATAGATATTAAAGATGATTGTTGTTTAAAATAATTTAAATTAGAATTATATAAACCGATTTCTTCTCTCAGATATTTTTCTCAGCTGTTCGCAACTGGAAGATAATCATTGATTTTACAATGTATAGTATATTATCTTACACCTATGCTCAAGCTTGATGTATTAATAGACGAAAACACAGATTACAAATATATAAAAAACCACTCAAAGAACAATTCTGAAATATTGCTTTTTTGAAGTGAAAGACGTTGGAAATACTTGTATGTTCATCTATTCTATCGAGCATGTCAATAAATCAAAGTGATTATCATTTCAACTTAATTAAATCTGGTCAATAAATTAAGAACTTGAAAGTTATAACTACAGTTGAGAGTTACAACCAAAGTTATAATCATTTTAACTTTTTGCTATTTTTTTCAATAATCAACTTTTTCGAAATTAGTTTTAACTCTCACACTGATTCTAGATTCAAGTTACAGCTACACGCTTACGCTCACCCTAGGATAATTTAGTATTCGTTAAGTTTTTTTTTTCTTGGTTTATTTTTTAAACACAGCTTTTTTCCTATAAGTTTTGCTTTTCATTCTAGCTTAACCTGCATCATTATATTTTTGTTCATATTTTTTTTTGTACTTTATTTTTCAAAAAAGATCTTGAAAAATTCACTTGAATCAGTTCTTTCAGTTCATCGCTCTCGTTGGTTTAGAAATAAAGGCTATCTCTCGTTCTAAAAAGACTCATGGATAAAAAAAATTAGCCAATAATTTTGTTTTTCGTGCCTCTTATTCACATGACCAATAGAATGAGTTGTCGTTGATCTGAAGAAGTACCCATTCTGGAAAGCTAGTTATCTATTCTAGCCCAAATTTAAATTAAAAAAATGATTTTGTCAATAAAACATTCTTTCTTAATAAAAAATTCTAATTTGACCAAAGATCTTGAAAGCAAATGATTTCACTCTTGTAAATTTTAATTAGATTCTCGTGCAAATGTATGTCAAGTAAATTTCAATCATATAATCAATGAAATCTTCAGCAAACAGATTCTTCAACATGACCTTTTGTACAACATAAATTAAGAAATTTTCTCAATGTTCGTGCGCATAGAAAAAAAAAGATAGAAAGAATGTTGTTGTTCAGTCATCATCAGTTGTGTTTATAGAAAAATAGCTCATTATTCTCGTTTTGACGATCATTGATATCATCGGTAAAATAAATCAAATAATCATATCTATATAAATATCCACATAAAGAAGTAAAAAAAAAATTCATATATAGACGTCATGGTAAACATGGAACATTTATTGGTCGAATTAAATGATTTACCAGATGACATTTTGTTGATAATTTTTAAAAGATAAAATAACATTTCATTCTAATACTCATTAATAGGTGTTAATAAACAACTTAATAGTATTGTACGTGATCTAATATTTACACATCATTCAAAATTAATGAGACATTTCTCGAATGATTCTATTGAACCGTTACCTGATGCAATCCTTAGTTGTTTATGTTCAAAAATTTTACTTGAAATTTGTAATCAAATTCAATGGCTTGATCTTGAAGCATCCTCTATTGAACGTATATTACTGGCTACAAATTATCCGAATTTATATGAACTTGGTTTATTTAATCTTGACATAGAAACAACTTTATCTCTTCTCCATGGTGAGATATTACCATTCTTTCATTAATCTAATATATAAAGAAGAATGTCTGTCTGTCTCTTCTTTACACATTGGATTCTTGTAAGAAGCAGTGCGATAGGAAGGTTCTCGCTTGAGTTTTTGAAAATTGACAAAATTTTCGTTGGATTTTTTCAAAAAATTTCGGAAAGTTTTCTGATCTTTAGAGTTCTATTCTCTTGCTTTTACCTCTTCGCGTTATTCCTAGGTGGAGACCACTTTTTATTCTAAAATATTTTACCTTCAATGAATAACTTGAAAACGAAAGAAGATAAGGATCTGCGTTTTTTGCAGTTAGATAAACAGAGATTCTAGGCTGTGAAAGTAGGATCAAGTTTATTTGATCTATCTTATGACTAATCGAACTTTCGCATACTTTCATGATCAGTTATTTGAAATTATACGAGACCGTAAGACAAAAAAAAGCTCATTAAAATCAATAAATAAGATTAAACTAATTGAAATGAGAAAGAAATCCAAGCACATTTTGTAACAGTCAAAATCGATAGCTTATAGTAAAACCATGGGACCATCGACTTCTAATATGTCAAGAATGCAATATTAAATTTTTCGGAGGAACGTCGGGTAATACCGCTAGTTAATAAAAAAAAACGGAATTATTTAAAAAGAAAAAGAATAAATATTTCGGTTAAATTATCAAAATAAATCTAAATCGATAGTTTTATTATTGATTTTTTTTTGTCTTTTTTATTTTTATTTAGATCAATCTTCATTAATTCATATAAATAAAAATCAAATTTCATAACTGATTATCGATATAACTAAAAAAGAAAATCAAAGATCAATGAAATATACTAAAATATTTGTATTTACAAAAATCTTTATTCAATATCCTAATTTACAATATTTAAATTTTTGTCCATCTCCAAGTTTATATGTACATTTATCATTTTCTAATTCGTCTTCAATTTTCGTATCTCCAAGTCTATTAGAATTCCATGTTTGTTTGACAAATTTTTGCTGATTGTCTTTATATACTCGATGAACGTTTTAATCAACTTCGTACTTTTTATGTTAATATTTATTTGATAGAAACTGCAAATAAAAACGTTGATAAAGAGGTAAATTATTTTAATTTATTTAATATTTATTCGAAATATTTCATTTTATAGAAAAAACTATCGAATTTAAAATGTTTTTCATTACATTGTTATAACATGACAGATGCTTATAATGAAGTTATTTTACCACTTCTATATCGAATGTCAAATTTAGAAAAACTCGATTTAAGTCTTTTTCTTTCGTTAGAAGAAAAATCTTCTCAATCAAATGATAGAATTAAACAAATTTACATTTAATATTTATTCAATTGTTTATTGTCATAATCAAATTAATTAACAATCAAATGAAAATATATAAAAATACGTTTAATGATTATAAATATAATAAAATTATTTGTTCTATTGATTATTTTAAAAAACATTCTAGTCAATGTCGAATTTATTCATATCTATATAAATTGAAATTTTATAATTCTATAACAAATAATTTTTCAGGTGAATTATTCAAATGTGTTCGTCAAATATCATTATTCGATGAAAAACCATTTGAACATGATTTTTTTTTTCGAATTGAAAAATCTTTTCCATTTTTAGAGAATATTTCTATACATTATTTTCAACCACAAAATAATAAATCATCTACAGAATCAAACAAAGATAATCAATATTTATCAATTGTGAAATATCCGTATCTTAATAATCTTTCACTTATTAACGTTCATGATTATTATTTTGAACAATTTTTAGTTTATACAAAAGTATCTTTACCAAATAATGTTCATCTTAACATTAGTTATGAACCATTGAAAAGAGTGACAAACAATTTTACAAGAAATGTAACACAAATCAATGGTAGAAAATTAAAGTCTTTGCGTGTAAATGTTAATGAACTTTCTAAACATGTTCAAGATTATTTTCTTCATACAGAGATAATCTGCTTATGATTGAATTTGATATAAATAAAATCCATTTATAGAATAAAACAATTCAAATAGAGACAACTGCTTTTCCTATTTCATTGATAGAAACTAAATTTATATGAAAATAATCAGGCAAGATAAGCATGCGATTGATGAAAAACTAGTAAAGAAAATATTCTAATGGATAACACTTAAAAATAACATCGATAAAGACAGTTATTTAATATAATATAAGATGAAATATGTGTCTTACGTTTGAGCCATTACTAAGGTCAAGACTTTAAAATAATAAACTCATAATACACACTGTGTTGGCAACTATCACGAACTAAATTCACCTTACACTTTATAGTTTCATCTAAAATATAGAATTTTTGATTAGAAGAACTATTTTTGGATATATATATATATATGTACAGGGTAGCCCAAAAGTCATGCACCCGAAAGAAAAATAAATAAATATCACCCCTTCAGCTCGAACAAAGAAGCTAATATTTTTTTATCAATAGTAGAGACGTCTTCAAGCGTTATATTCATACGAGCGAGGTCAGGACTAACCTTTGTTAAGTATCACTATTAATTTTAACACAAAAAAAATTTTACTTTCTCGCAGATAGAAAAAACAATACGCAAGATAATGCAAAAGTCATTCTATCGAAAAGAAAATTGAATATGTACATTACGACTCGAGCAAATGAGTTCATTCTTGTAGTAGTGATAGAGACTAGAGTCCTCCACGGGTACAAGTTTTGGCATCCAGAATCGGACCCGGATATCCTATACCCGGACTGGATCGGCAGATGTTTTTTAATATATAACAAATTTTTTAAAAGTTATTTTTATCAGAAAACATATAACATATAACACTTAATTTCGTGCAGAAGCACAAATTGATTAACATTTGATAGATCGAACGAAAAGTACTATAATTTCTTTATCATCTTCAATTCAAACGCAATTGCTCTACGACGACGTTGCTGCTAATTTTAACTTTGAACATATTTTCCAAACACTTTTATCTGTTTTTTTTTTAATAGTTATCTGATCATTCTTAGAATTATTCATGTTCTAAAATTTCAATATCTAAAACAATTAAAATTTGCTTTTACCTATAACATGAAAAGTATACAAAGATACTCGGTTTTCTCCTTCAGAAAGTGTTCAGATGAGTGATGAATCACTGGATTATCATCAGATTCAATTCAGTTTGACTCTATTCTCTATATGTTAGCGATGGTGAAAACTTAAAATTTTCGAAATTTTGTGATGTCATCACTTGCCGATCCGCGTTCGGGTATGCATTTATAATCAAACTCGGATCCATGCTCCGGATCGGACCGTATTGCAGTACTCTAATTCTGTCCTGGTAGTACGATCATAAAGAGAACAGCTGATATGGTGCCAGAATTTGAAGCAATGATCTATTATAAGCATATTGTCAATGATAATACTTGATCGCTGATTATATGCGAAGAGAAATAGAAAAATATTCAGTTTGATATTTGTTAATTATAATAAATATTTTTTTTTGTCGAACAAACATCGTCTCAAGAATAAATTATTAAAATACTGATTATATCAAAATAAATAATTTTTTCTAAGAAAAAATAAATCGTTTCGCATATTTAATAAATAATCAGCATACTATATTCGATAGAATTCTGATTCTTTTGCACCATAATCAAATAAACTAAGAAAAAACTGCGGTTTTATGAATTTATTTTTTCAGAATTTGTTTATGAATCTCTTTATACATCTTTATAGTAAATAGAAGGAATCAGACTGATAGGACAATGACTTGACTGAGAGCGAAGACAGATTCTTCAGATCTGTGGTTCTCGTTTGATGCAGTTAAACTGTATTATTTGATATCAATAAATAAATCTAATGTTTTTAAGTAAAGTGCAAAAACAAAATTCCAGCAGCTCCTTCGAAGAAAAGAAGAAGAAGAGCGCCTAAACGTTGTCCAGCACTAAAAGAAAAGAAAGTACAAAGTAACTATGCCTTGTCGATGACATATCTTTCTACAAAAAATATAGAATCCGTTGATTGTTACATGACAATCTATATGTCAATGCGGATAGATCGCTTGTTTATATGTGTACTGTTGGTTTTTTGAATTCTTAATTGTTAATTATAAATAAAAGAGTATGTAAATGAATCTTACAAGAGATCGTATATATACATCTAACATAGAATTGAAATCAACATATATGAAATAACGCTTCTATATTGCTTTTCAGGGCTGGACGAGTCAGGCCATTTTTCGAGTCGAGTCAAATCATTTTTGCTATTTTTTGCTTTCTGTTTATTTCGATGAAGAACTTTAGGAGGTAGGTTATCCATGAAACGATATCTAGTTCTTGGTTTTCATACATAAAAAACAGAATAGTTCCATACAATAGAGAATAGCATAAACATTATAGATTGATTAGAAAATCAAATCAACAAAACAAACTCTTCTTTTTAAAGTGTTTCACAACAAAATGATAAACACGTTTTTCATAAGCAAAAACGTAGATTTAAATCTGTATACAAGCATAAATGATCTGTCTATATCTAAATTTAGAGAAAATTTCCTTTAATCATCAAAATTTTGTAACTGCAAAATAATCAACGACGAATCAATGTTTTGACCGCCAAGCTAAACAAGATATAAACGTATTGAAATGGATCCATATTGCAATATATGAAACTCAACTTTTTAAATTTCGTTTGATTCTGAGAAAGAGGAAAGTAGGGGATGGAAATTTCTATTACGACTCTTTATATCAAGAGTTCTTGAGGAATCGAAGTTGTAAGTACCACGGAAGTCAGTTGATAAATGCAGTTACAACACACGATTAAGAAAAAGCAGTTTTTATTTGAGCTTATTTCATCTCGAAATAGTGTTACATCAGTGACTGAAGTGTTTTCTTTGTAAGATACGATTATGAAAATAATTTCTTACTTCATCATCTCCATTATCAATAACAAAACCATATTGAATAAGACAATAATGTCCGATCAAGATTAGACTACATCTTCCTAAATCTATAGATAAAACTTGTATAGAAAACAGCAGCGAACTCTGCATCTTCTTAAATTTATCAATTCAAATTGCATTGAAAACAGTAGTGAATTCTATATCTTCATAAATTTATAGATAGAAATCGTATAAAAAAAAATAAGAATGAATAAATATTATCAATTGTAAGTGTTCAAAACGAAAGTGAAATTTTGATTATCATTAAAATTATTATAAGTAAATTTTATAAATTGAAAAAGAATTTAAAATTTTCGATTGTCTTTTTAACAATAATTTCAATATTTAAATTAATTTATTCAGTTGAAATACATGTTTCAATAATTTACAAAACGAAAATTTGAAACGTTCACTTGCTTGTATTTGTATAATTTAAGTTGAAAAATAAAATGAAATCGAATTTCATAATTTTAAAATTTTCGATTTTATGTTCTTGAATAAGAAGATACCCTTGTTACTCTATTGCTACAGCTATTAATTAACGAAATCGATACTTTTCAATATCAAAATCATGACATCTTTCTCTATCAAAGAAAATTTTATTGATATTATACAAGTAAGAAGAATTACATTTTTATTTTTCTTTAAACTGATAACAAAACAGTTTGTAAAATATATTGATTGATATTATCGTACGTCACAAATAAAGCGAATTCAAGCCATTGTACAAGAATAATTTAATTTTTTTGTTTCCCCATTTTTTTATTTGTTCTAAAATTAAAAGAAAAATATAAATATGTTTAATCTTCGAAGTACCTTGGAAACATTTTAGGTATGTTGTAATGAATTTTGATATTTTCTTTGTCATTCTCAATGTCTTTAGCTAAAATCACAAAGTGAAAATAGATAACTTCGACTAGTATAAAAATCAATATATATATATATATGTAGACTTACAGGACACCTTTAATTTATCCAATTCAGCACACAATGATTTTTTATTTAATTGAACTTCAGTTTCACTAAACAAATTGAATCAGTATAGGATATTTATAAAATATGCTTACATTTTTTTTAAAAATGTAACTGCATCTGAATAAATATCATATTTGATCTTTTCGAGAATTTTTATATCCAATAAAACATCTAAAAAAATACATCATATTAATTCGAGTGGATTTTACAATATAAAAGAAAAATACCATCCTATTACCTTCAAAATTCTGTTTATCAAAATTAATATTAATTCTTGCAATGCACGACGTGGTCAAGATGTTTACTAATTGTCTATCTTGCAAAGATGAGTCATCTTTTGAGCAATCATTAATAATTGTAGATAATTCCTAAGAATAAAAAATCATTAAACTTAAACAAATAATCAAAAATTAAATACTGTTAAAGCAGCATCAAAGTCCATTCTGGTCAACAATACATTCACAGCTCCTAATTTAGCAGTTACTTCAGCTAATGACATTTTATATATTAATAATTATATATAGATTTCGAATTGAATTAAAATGTCAATGCGAAATGAATATGAAAGTAAAATAAAACGAATGATAAATTGAACAAAGCTCACAGTGAAATTAAACCAAAGTAAATGAGGAATAAAATCAATGTGAAAATGGAATAATCGTACAATGAATGAAGGCACAAACACAATAATCGAAGAAAACCGATCAGAAGACAAATGGCGAGTTGCACCAAGTTGTGAGAGAAATTAAACTGTTGTGTACATATATATATATGAAGAATTCAATCACAATAAACGACAAATTAAACAAAGAAACATAATGAATAGACGAAATATGGATGAGCGAGATCGCGGAAAGCGAACCAATGTGTAGTCCATGGTCCACATGATACCAATATGTATATATATATATCAAGAAAGTTACTGATAGCTGTCGCTACATCTTAATCATCAGTTATAGAAAAATTTTAGATGAACTTCTATGCCTCTACTTCATTGAGTTTCCAGAGAACATAAATTTTTTACGTTCTACGATAAATAGAGAATGCAGCATCGTAGATTCAACTTAATCAATGTTCATATCTA